GAAATAGACAAGCAATCAATAAGCAATTGAAATTCCACTCACAAAGATCCTTGCCACTGACACACGCATGACTCCCCCACTCGCAACCAGAAACAAGGCGCATTGACACACACAAACAAGCCCAACCCTCCAGGCAGTGACCACGCCACAAGCATAGGCACAACTGACGCTCGACAAACACAAACACAAACACAAACACGAACACTAACACAAACACAAACATATTCGACAACCACACTGTTGGAAACCGTACACCACGGTGAAGGCACGGTACACAAACAACAAATATGCGACCATGTACGCAGAGAAACGTGAATCTGCAAACTGCACCCACAGAAACACCACATGCATTCGCCCGCTATGACGGAAAGACGAGCTTCAAATGCCAACAATGGAAGAGACCCCCCTCTGCAGACTAGTCGCCGTGTCACTTGGAGCCTCCTCGCGGCCGGAAAGGTCGTTGTTCTGGGGGGGGCTGTTCAGGTTAATGAAGGCACGACTGTCGCGATCAAGGCACTCGAGGACTTCAGGGTTGCTTATCCCAAAAATCCTATCAAGCCCGCGCGTACGCAACCAGGATGTTGCAAGCCCGCGCGTATTCACCAGGATTTCAGTCGTGCGACGGGCAAGGCGGCGACGCTCGCAAAGAGCGTCGGCTTCTGCTGCCGTGATAGGCTCTGGCAGCAGCGACGGACGGGCGCCCCGAGTCATCTGCGGTTCATCCGCGAGGGGATCCGGGCCCTCCTAGTCGCAGGTCCGCACATTGTCAACGACGGAGTTGAACTCCGTCGCGGACATCCCTGCCAGGCCGAGTTTCAGTGCTGTCAAAATAGTAGGCAGAAAGTTAGAACAGGAAAAGAGGGTTTGCACTAGCAGGCAGTTGAGTATATATAGGAAACCCTAATTTGGGCTACTCGCTATAGAGTACCCCACTGCAGGCTAGACAAGCATAATATTCTGACACACCCCCATAGTCAAAGTGGGGTATAATCAGCACAGCAAGCAGGCATAGAGCAGGTTCACAAGAACAAGCAAAGCTAGAGGCATTCACAGAGGGCAAGTGAGGAGGAGGAGTGACTATGAGAGGAGAGAAGGTGGTGGGCGGCAGCTGAAGTTGCTGGCACACGGCGCAACTGGAGAAACTGGCACACGGGCAACTGGAGCAACTGGCACACTGGGAACTGGAGCAACTGGCACACGGGCAACTCGAGTAACTGGCTCCGCGGCTAGACGAGCGGCAGGAGCAACTGACCTATGGGCGACTGGAGCAACGGGCTCACGGGCGACTGGAGCGACGGGCTCACGGGCGACTGGTGCAACGGTCTCACGGGCGACTGGAGCTGCTGGCTTCACAGCGGCCACCCCCCCCTTCAACCTCCCCTAACAATCCTACACCCCCTTCTCACACACCCCCTTGCTGCACCCCTAGCTCCACTCCCACGACACCCCCCTAGCGCCACTCCTTCAGCTCCCACACACCCATCCCCCTCAGCGGCAGCTGCAGCACTGGGAGACGGAGTAGGAGGAGGATCAAGGAACGGCTCACACTCCCGCCACCCCCAGAAACGGCACCGCGCAGTTACACAAGGGCAGGGAGTGGCGCGCGGCTCCACAGGGCAGCACGCGCAGGCTGCAGGGGCGGCTCGCGTGCTGGTGGGGCGGCTCGCGTGCTGGTGGGGAGGCTCGCGGGCTGTAGGGGCGGCTCGCGAGCTGCAGGGGGGGCAGCGCGCGGGCCTCCCGAGGGCGCCACGGCGGGTGACGGGAGGGGAGCCGCGCACGGGCCCACAGGGCGCCTTGAAGGGCGACGGGAGGGGGCGACGCGCGGGCCCCCAGGGCGCCGCGACGAGGCGACGGGAGGGGGCGACGCGCGGGCCCCCAAGGCGCCGCGACGAGGCGACGAGAGGGGGGCGGCGTGCGGGCCCCCAAGGTGCCGCGACGAGGCGACGGGAGGGGACGGCGCGCGAGCCCCCAGGGCGACGCGAGAAGGCGACGGTAGGGAGCGACGTGCGGGGCCCCAGGGCGCCGCGACGAGGCGACGGGAGGGGGGGGGGGGGCGAGGGGGCGGCGCGCGGGTCTATGGGGGCGCCTCGACGGACGACGGGGGGCGACTCGCTGGTCGACGGGGCAGGAAACCGCTGCGCGCCTCTAGGCGCACGGCGGGCAAAAAACCGCCGCGCGCTCGGGGCGCGCGGCGGGCAGAAAACCGCCATGCGCCCCGAGCGCGTGGCGGGAAGAAAAAACGCCGCGCGCCACGGGGCGCGCGATAGACAGGACAGCAGCGAAAGCTAACGGTGGGCTCACAGGCCAGGAGCATAACCGCTCTGATAGCATGTCAAAATAGTTGGCAGAAAGTTAGAACAGGAAAAGAGGGTTTGCACTAGCAGGCAGTTGAGTACATATAGGAAACCCTAATTTGGGCTGTACTCGCTATAGGGTACCCCACTGCAGGCTAGACAAGCATAATATTCTGACAAGTGCGGCCAGCTGCCTACCGAGAAACTCTAGCTCCTCGGTAGTATTGCCAGGGTCGGACGTTCAGGTGCTCTCGAGGGGCATGAGAGCCTTTCACGAGCGTGGCAGGATGCCATCGTTGAACCAACAGCGCTGGATCGTCTCAGTCTCGACGGCGCCCCATGCCTCGAACAGGTAGATGACAGTTTTGTGAGGTTTCGACTTCAAGGACTGCAGGGATGCGGGGCTCCCACGATTGTCCCACTGAATCAGCCAGTCCGTGATCACTTTTTGATGAAACCTGGCCTTGATCGCGGTGATGACACCCTGGTCCAGGGGCTGCGTGAAGGCGGTGGTGTTAGAAGGCAGGTACACCACCCGGATGTTGCTGAGCTTGACGTTTGCAGAAGCCCAAGATATCCTGACGCACCGCCGCCTCCGTATCCACGCGGTGACTGCTCCATTATCTACGAGGAGCACGACCTGCCGCTCCTCCGCATAAAACGTTGCGTTCAGCGACTCAATGAAGGCCGTGAAAATTTGCAGCACACACGCACCTCACATAAGAGAATATCCAAGCATTTGTAGTTGTTGAATTGATAACTTTTGCAACCAAAATACTGTACATTCAATCCCAAATACAAAATCCACTCAACCTCACCTTGCTTGTCATCCAGCAGTGCCTGTTGTAGCGCCAGTACACATAAGGTTCGGGGTCGAATCTGGTGTCGTTGAAGTCCCGCGGACGACGAACCTTGGATATAACCATGGGGCGGAACGCTGAAGAACCATCCGCGTTGCAAAGGAACGCAATGGTGAGGCAGTCCTTCGCGGTCTTGACACCGGCAGGCGTCTCGGTCGCCCACGTCTTCCTTGGCTAGTAGGCAGGGAATAATGCCATAGCCGCGCGCTTGTTACAACGTCCATGTCCTTCGCGGCAGCCTCTCCGGCGCGAGTGAGATTACGGAAGCCTAGGTGGTGCATCATGTGAGGCACCCAGGTGAGCGAGCACAGGAACCTCTTCGCGGCGGAGTGACCTTGCCTTCTCCTGAATCAAGCGCAATGTTAATGGGACGCCTGCCTTACAAGCGTTGCGAACCCAATTGCCAAGCTGACGCTCAAGCTGGGGGAACATGGGCTGCCGCAGGCGAAATGTGCGACCGTGGGCAGTGGTCGTAGCACGCCACTTCTATTTGCCATGTAGGATCTTGCCAATCGTGCTGCGATCAGGGCGAATTCCAAATCTGGTGAAGCACCAGACGGAAAGGTAATCGTAACGAAGGTGTGGATGGTGCGCAAAGTGCTGGCAAATTTCTCGCTTGGTGACGATAGGAATTCGCTAGCGCTTTGTGAGGCGAGCCATGTTGCTTAGAAGGCGTCTCAAATCCCTCGGTCCACCCTGGCTCTATGCGGTCGATGGGGACCAGTCCACCAAACCACATCGGACCCAAGCGTGGACCCGCTCTCTGAGCAATGTAGACCGTGGGTGTAGCAAACCAGCACTCTCGTTTTAGCGGGCGAAAGGGACTATAATGGGGAGGATATCCAGGTTCAGCGAGCTGGTCCACGTCGGACTCTTGAAGTCATAGTATTGGCGAACACTCACGAAATCACCTCTCTCTGTCGCAAAATTTTGGCGCCCACACGCGTCAGGGAGAAGCTGCGCAAGTGTACTGTACAGTCTTGCGTCATGGTAACCCAGTTTCTCTCGCCTACACGCTACTGTAGAGTGGATCTGCGGACCCAACAACAATGAGTCCGAAGCTGGTTCACTCGGTTGGTCCACCCTGGTCCGACGGACCAGTTCAGGGTATTTCTGTAGGCACAAATTCAGGGACGGACCAGGTTTGGGCGGACTGGCGGACCAGCCAAAGTGAGACACATCCTTAGACTGGAGAGTTGATCGGAATGGTGTTGTGTCGCTAAGGTTGGTTAACCATGCCTTTGAAGGTTCGTCAACCCCGCCAGTTGGTGCAAAGGGGGTACGAAACTCTTGACGTGGCACCTAGAGTTGATTCGATGTTTTGCTTACGTGGTTCAGAACGTCGCAATGGTTTCGCCAGCTCGATTCTTCCAGAATGTTCAACTTTCGCAGGCAAGGTACACGTCGCAAACGTGATCAGACCGAAGAAGGCGATTGGTTTTGAGTGTGATTTGCAGGATCATATCAGAATCTCTGCCGGACTCTGTACACTGTGTGCCACCCACAGCAGGACTAAACATGACGGGCTACACCTGGGCGATATCGGAAAATTCTACATAGGGGGGAAAAGGGACACTCTTAGCGAGGGCCTCTAAACCAGAACACCTGTACGCGTAGCAGCCAACCCCGATAAGGAAAAGTAACTTTCCTAATACAAAACCCCAAAAAACCCTGGTCGCCCAGAAGCCCAGAGTCGCCCAGAATAGCGCCGACTTCGTCGATCACGTTGCTTCAAATCGGGTTGCAGTCGCATTGTTTCTGCTGACGTCGCCATTTCTTGTCGTATAAAAAAGTGGGGCGACCAATAGGTTTCATCATCCCCCTCCTTCCCTTTCACCAGCGCGCCATGGCGGTGCCCCAGAGACTCCAGGATCTCTGCGCCCTGCTCTACCGCGCAATAACCCGCGCGGCCGTGGGGAACCTGCCGGTTCGCGCGCTGCTGCTGCTGGCGCTGGCGGTGGTGGTCTCGCTCGTTGTGTGGGCGGCGCCATGGCCTGCCGCGACCCTCGACATGCTCGCGTCTCCCAGGTGCGTGCGGCAAGCTACCCACGGGTCTTCAACGCCGTCGCCATTCACAACGCGATCGTCACGGCGGGCCGCCGTGATGTCGCCGCGCTGAACCTCTCGCCGCACGGTTCCACGCGGGGCGACGCGCGGAGGGTGTAGTTGGGCCGAAACGCGTGGAGTTACTATTGTACACAGCTGATAATTACGCAGCGCCATTCGACGCCATTCGCGGCAGTCAACTGTACAGTGTGCGGCGTTGGGTGCGCTGCCTATCCGGAAAGTTAGTGCCACAACTCCTGGTTTCCCTCTTGCCGTTCCGCCCCAGTCTTTGCACGTTTCATGATTCCCACATTCCCGCCGGATTCAAGTGAGTGGCAGTAAATCTCGCATTGCCCCACTCGCTCACCCCTTCGCCCATCCTCCTTCGAACCCTCCTCCTCCCCCATACCTCCCCTTCCCCATCCCTTGCTGTTCACCTCCCTCCTCTTCCCGCTGGCATGAGTGCCCCTCCCGCCGCTGCTCGCCGTGCGCGCATGGCGGCAGCCCCACGTCCGCGGAGCTGTACGAGGCATGGGCGCACCTCTTCGCGCTCGACTCACCCGTCCCGCCGCCCGCCATCGCCATGCCCGCATCGCTCCCGCCCGCCCCCCACCTGGAGGACTGCGCCGTGCGCACTGCCTTGCGCCTCGCCTCCGAGCACACGGGGGCGCGACAGACGGCTGCAGGCAATGGAGAAGAGGAGGAGAGGGGAGAGGGTGAAGCACCGGAGTGGGCACGGGCGTCTGCTGCGTGTGGCAATGTGCCGCAACCCCCGTGGGTGAGGCGCTGGCAGACCTTCCCCTCCGTGTGCAGCGCTGGGCGTGATGCCACGCGCACTGGGGCGCACTGGGGCGGATTCAGGTGGCATATAGGCAGTGGCATGGGGCGGGTGTTGGTGTGGAACGCTGTGAGTGGATTAAGGTGTCACGCAGTCGTGGGGATGCTTTGTGGGCTGGCCAGCCGTGGCTGGAGCTGCTAGTAGGGCCAGCAACGCATTCATGTCAAGCAGTCCGTAGTAAAGCAGTCTTTGCTTTGCATCGCCCATGCTGCTTGCCTTTTTTCCGCTGTTATTCAACCTCCTCCTCCATATCCTCCACTCTCTCTCTCCCCCTCTTCGTCTCCCCCCTTCCCCTGCGCCCTGCACCGTTGCCTGCCTGCTTGCCCATGTCCGCCCCACTGCACTCGTCCACCCTCCTGCACTTGGCACGGCAGGTGAGGGGGGCGGATGCGGCGAATCTGGGGAGCACGCGGGAGGTGCAGAGGGACCTGTGGGCGCACCAGTTCCCGCCCGGGTCATGTGAGGGCCGCCGCCTGCTGCTCGTGCACTGGCCGCACCTCCCCCTGCCACCCCAGGATGACCACGGCAGCAGCAATGCCAATCGCAACCTCACTCAGAACAGCAGCCTTACTCAGGACAGCAGCAACAATAGCAACAATAGCAGCGGCAGCGGTGGCGATAGCAGCAGCAGAGACGAAGAAAGCAGCAGCACGAGTGGCAGCAGCAGCAGCGGCGGTGAGAGCGGTTTTTGGAGTGTAACGAGTGCATCGGTGGTGGCGGAGCAGCTGGCGGCCATGGCAGGGGCGCTGAGTGTGGCGGTGAGCAGCCGGCGCGTGCTGGTGCCCATGCCAGGCTCCTTCCTCCCCGCAAACCACCCCCATTGCCACGGTCAGTGCGCCCTGCCATGCCACAGTGCTTGGAGGACACTATGGTACTTGTTCCAGGTTGGTTCATGTCGTGAGAGCTCGTTGAAAGCAGCTTCAGGGTCGACTCACAACTCAACCCTACAATGCCCCCGCCACTTCCAACCTTGGGTGTCTCCACCACAACTCATTGCGCATTCGCACCCTCACTGTACCTCCACCTTTGTTGTGTCGGTGGAAGATGGTGTCCGCTTTTGCCGTCACAAGGTTGCTTTGGGAAGGGAACATTGGGAGAGGGTCGTGTCTCAGGAGAGGCTCAGTTGCTCAGGGAATTACTCAAACCATTGGAGAAACTGGATGAGCTCGCTTCGCCCTGCAAATCTATGCTGCTTAGGACAACCCCCCCAATCCCTGCGTCAATCCGTTCCCCCCATGCCCTTCCCCCCTCTCCCCTCCATGCCCTTCCCCCATACCCGCCATACCCTCACAGCGGTGAACGAGTCGGGGTCGCTGCACTGCTACTTTGTCCGCTCCGTGTCGCCTGCCTGTGAGGCAGCAGCCATGCAGCAGTACCGGTTAGCCGCCTCGCCCCCCTGCCGCCCGCTCGCCCAGCTCACCAGTGCTCTTGCCTCCAACGACTCCCTCGTCTGTGCGCTCGCCACCCTCCACCCCTCCTCTCGCCCCGACTCCGCTGCTGCTAGGTACCCCAAGGCTGTGCATTGCATGACCCTGTGCATTGCATGACCCTGTGCATTGCATGACCCTGTGCATCGTTTTCTACTCCAAGCATGCCATCAACTTGTGTGTGGAGGCAATGTGCCACTCGCCTCTCTCACCGTTGCTCACTTCCCATCCTCTTCTTGCATCCTCATTGCCCGTTGAGGTGCTTCATATGCCTTTTTGCTGCCATGCCTCTTGGTAGGGCGTGGGGCAATGCATACAAGCAGCGGCCTTACCTGGTGGAGGAGAGGGGCGTCATGGTCAACGCCACTGAGGAGCACATGCAGGTCGCCCATGCCATGCCATGCCATGTCATTCCATGCTGTGCCATGTCATGCCATGCCGTGCCTGCTGTGCCATGCCATGCCATGCCGTGCCGTGCCGTGCCATGCCATGCCATGCCATAATGCGCCGTGCCATGCAATGCCATGCTGTGCTGTGCCGTGCCATTCCATACCATGCCATCCCATGCCGTACTGCGCCATTCCCTCCCATGCCATGCCGTACTCTGCCGTGTCGTGCCGCCACAGTCCAAGCCATGTCATGCCCTACTGTACCATGCCGTGCCATGCCATGCACTCCCCTCTCTCCCACCGCCCACCTTCTCCTCCGTGCCCCAGGCCTACTGGTGGCAGGCGCAGGCCCTGCGCTTCCTGCTGCGCTGGCCGTCGGCGCTGCTGTGCCACGCCACCAACCGCATGCGCCACTCCGCATACGGGCTGCAAGCCGCCGAGCATTCGGCGGAGTACATGAAAGAGCAGCGCGAGATAGTCACTGCTCTCCGTTCCGACCCACCTGATCCAAACCCTGGCGTTCATTTGCGCGCAGAAGCTGCTATCCTCACCACACGTGACTACACCAAACATCCTAACCTGGAAACAGAAGTGTGGCCTGGGCTCGGGTATGCGGGGTGTGGATATGCTTCAGAGACTGGGGGTGCAGGTGAGGATCGAGGAGGACGTGAAGCGGAGAAAGTGGGAGGTACAGGCGGAGGTGGATGGACTATTGGGAGCTGGACTATTGGCGGATGGAGCATTGCGTCGTGGGGCATTGGAGCAGCGGATGAGGAGGATGTGGTGGAGGAGAAGCCGGCGCCGCTGCTCATGTACGAGAGGGTGGGCAGGGAGGTGGCCATGCCGCGCCCCGTGGTCAGCATGCATGTGGAACATCAGGCACCAGGTCATGCAGGCGCCTCGGCGGATGTGTTGCTGCCGCTGCTCTCGCTGGCGTACCGCCTGCGCCAGCACGACCCCACGCTCCAATTCGCCTGGCTCTCCGCAGATGACCTGGTAAGTGCGGCTGTGCTGGGCGGGAGGGAAGTCGAGTTACGCCTGCCTCTCGGCACAGCACCTGGTTAGTGCGCCTCTCGGCACAGCACCTGGTTAGTGCGCCTCTCCACAGACAAGCTGGTGCGTGTGGGTGTCATTTGGGAAAATGGGGAGGGATGCGGGGATGGGTGGGGAGTACTTTTCTCTGTACAGACCCTTTATCTGTGTGCCGGTGTCTCAATGCTCCTGTCTCCTTCCTTGTGCAACCATTGTCGCTGCTTTACGCCACGCACAATGCAGGATATGAGTCAGCAACTGAGCACACTCACACGCCCACATCTGCAATCTTCCTGGTCCTTCCTCCATCCGTATGGCACGGACCTGCAAGAGCACAACCCAGTTGCTGCCATGTTTTCCAACCTCCTCATTTCATCAGAGTCTGATTATCTTGTAGCTGCACTAAACTCAACATGGTCCCAGGCCTTGCATGCACTCAGGTCCACAAATGGCCGACTATACTCCAGGTTTTTGTCCTGGTAATTTTTTGTACCGTATTTTGTGATGAGTGAGTTTGTTCGGTTCATGGTCAACAAAAGGTTCTCAATATGCGCCCGACCTGAATACCGTACATCGCGTTATAGTTTCCTTGCTACCTAAGCAACCTCTCGTATGATTTTCCAGACCTTGTAGAATACTTAGTCTAAATTTACAGATATCGAGTTCGGTCGCGCCGGCGCTAGGGCTAATTTCTGGTTTTTACCAACCCTTGCGATCAGTGTTGCACATGATCAAAAACCTGATTGTCAGTGTTACCCTTTTTGAAAAAACTGATCTATCAGGGTTTCTGCTTGTTTTGAATATTCTACCCTGAGGCATCAGTGTAACAAGTTTTCAAACCCTTAATCATCATGCACTTTCTCTTAGCCCTTTCTTTCCACTGGGGTCGGCAGCGCCACTGATTTCGCCGGCCGTCTGGTTTTTTGCTTGCGCCAGATGTGCACCACTTCATGCCAGCACACGTAATGTCGTGCCGAAATTTACGGGAATCCCAGGTTACGTGGATCCCAGGTTACGGGGTAGGGTGTGTTGGGCTGAGAAATAGCCCTTAGGATCTTTGCAGGGGTGAACTCTGGGTAGGACTGATGTACCGTATTACCCCGGATATAAGCGCACCTGCGCTTATAATAAAACGGTGTTTTTTTGGGGGGTGCGCTTATAATTGAGTAAAAATTATAAGCGCATGCGCTTATAATATAACAAATACAAATATATATTTCAGTGCACCAAATTGTACATCTCATCCTTCAGATTTCAATCGAATCGAAATTGTAGAAAGTCACATGTCAAAATCGCGCGCGGGCGATTCTTCGCGAGCGCCCAGAGGCAAAATACAGTGTAACACCTCACTTTGAGGGCGTGCCAGCTCGTGCTGACTGGACGCGCAGGATGTGAGAGGTCTTCGAAAGTCAATGTAAGCGAAAATGGGTTGTGGCCTCGCTGCAAAACTGAGATTCGTTACCGTTTTAATGAAGAATTATAAATAAAATTACACATGCGCTTATAATATATCAGGTTTTATAAGGGGTGCGCTTATAATTGAGGATCGGCCATAAGCGCATTGCTCCAGATACAAGCGCATGCGCTTTTAGTAGGCCTGCGCTTATATCCGGGGCCATACGGTAATAGCGGAAGCTTTAATGAAGTAGTTGAACCACCTTGCGCTAGTACCGTCATCGCCCGGATATAAGACAGTGTTGAATAGTAGACAGGGGTTGTCTATTATACGGGTGTCTCTTATAAACAGGCTAGCCTTTTTATACGACACCTATTTGTGTGTACGAGATAAGACATGTGTGTCTTATAATCGAAACTGCAATGTATTATACCGTGTACATTTTTACCCTTGCGACACGCGAATTCTGCCACGTGCTGAGTCACATACTACCAAATTTGACTCTGCAAGTATTCGGGATGACGTGGCGTCCCGAACAATGGTTGCCGAAGTGGCAACTTCGCAACATCGACACTCTTAATGAGAAACTCTTTTCAAGATGCGTGAAAATATTTCTAAGTAGTTTAAAAAGGTTTCCATTTATAAGACTTATAAGACACCCAAAACCTCCCCAAATACAAGATAACCCAAGCATTTTTTTTAGTGTATGAGATAAGACATATATGTCTTATATCCGGGCGATGACGTTGTGAAGAATGAGGAATGAATGAACTAGCAAGCAGGTGGGTACAAGTAGGAAAACCTAGAAATGTTGTACCCCATATAGTCTACCCCACTACAGCCTACACAGACTATAGCATATAAGTTTGACACACCCCCATAGGCAAAGTGGGGGAGAACAAGAGGTCACAAGACCAGTCAAGCAAAGCAAAGCAAGCTCAGGGTGGATCACAACGTCACCACACAATCCGAGCACAAGAGCAAGGCCAAAAGGCCAGTTCACATGCAAGATCATATATAAAGGTAAACAGGCAAGTGCAGGTATAGAAAGATCACAGTACAAGCAAGGTCAAGATGTGAGCAAGTGAGGCCAAGTAGGCACAAGACCTAGCATCGTACAGAAGTGCTAATGATCACCAGGCGGAAGTGCCTTGGTAAAGATATCAGCAGTGTTGGCCTCAGAGGCCACGTAAGCAAGGTGCAGCTGACCACGCTGCTGCAGCTCACGAGCAAGGAAGTAGCGAAGAGCAATGTGCTTCGTTCTGTGCTCCAGTCTGTGCTCCCGACACAAGGCCAGCATGGCCTTGTTGTCTACGTACAGAACTGGAGGAGAACGAGGCGGCTCTCCTAGGTCAGTCAGCAGGTAGGTGAGCCAGCGTAGCTCCTGTGCAGCCATGGCCCCCGCGTAGATCTCAGCCTCACAGCTGGAGCCGAGAACAGAAGACGAGCGGGTAGACCGCCACGAAACAGAGCCGGAGCCAAGGCTGAAGGTGTAACCCTGTGACGACCGCTGCGTAGCCTGGTCGTCAGCCCAAGAAGCGTCTGCGTGACCTGCGAGGACCACTGGACGTCGCCCTCCAAGCACTAGCCCCATGCCCGACGTACTGCACAAGTAGCGCAACACCCTCTTCGCTGCAGCCATGTGCTCTGGTCGGTGTCTCCCAGGAGCAACATAGCGGGCCAAGATGCTAAGAGGGTATGCAAGGTCAGGTCCTGTGCAGGTCATCAGGTACATGAGGCAGCCAACAAGCTCTGGGTACGGGCCACTCGGCTCTACGGACTCATCCGAAGGCAGAGCTGAGAGCGAGTGGCGAGTAGACAGAGGAGTGGCCTGAGGCGAGGAGTACGTGAAGTCGAAGCGCTGAAGAACCTGCTGCACCATGTGTGACTGAGTCAGGGTAATGGTGCGCTGTGCTCTGTCCCGGGTGATCTGCAAGCCAAGGTAGCTGCGCTGTTCACCCAGGTCTGTGCACGTGTGTCTCTTCTGCAGCTCGGACTTCACGTGGGCGAGTCCAGCAGTGTCAGCAGTGGCAAAGACCAAGTCGTCGACGTACACGAGGATGTAGAACGGCGGCAAAGAGGTGTCGGTGCGCAGAAACAGCGACGGGTCGGCTGTAGAAGGAGCAAACCCAAGAGCCGCAAGTGTAGTCCTCAGTGTGTCGTGCCACTCACGGGGCGCCTGGCGGAGACCGTAGACTGGCCGCCGGAGGCTCCACTGGGTACCAGGGGGAAACGACCCAGTGAAGCCAGGTGGGCGGCGCAGCCAGATCTCCTCGTGCAGGTTGCCCTGCAGGAAAGCTGTGCTGAAGTCAAGAGAGTGAAGCTCGTAGTCGCGCTGAGCGGCTATGTGCAGCAGCACCCGAAGAGTGGTCATCTTCGGGGTGGGAGAGAAGGTCTGAAAGTAGTCAACTCCCTGCCGCTGACTGAAGCCTCGAGCCACGTAACGCGCCTTGAAGACAGGCGGAGAACCCGGCGGCCGCTTCACCCTGAAAATCCACATGCCACTGACGATGTTCGCCCCAGGTGGGGGAACCTCGTCGACGTAGGTGCCTGTGGACTTCCAGGAAGCCATCTCTGCGTCCATGGCTGACTGCCACTGAGAGGAGTAGGGACCCTCGATCGCCTCAGCGTACGATCGAGGAGTCGGGATGTCTGGTGCATCCGGGTCTCCCTCAAGGGCAATCAGCGTGGACACGAGATGAGGCAAAGCAGCAGCAAAACACTGGAACTCCTCCTGCCTGTCCTCAAGGACGTCCGTGCTAAGAGCACACTCACCCCCGACGGACGGAGGACAGACAGACTCAGACTCAGCAACGAGACTAGCGGCGTAGTCTAGACGACAGCGAGCAGCAAAGTCGACAAGCTCAGCAACTAAGGCAGACGCAGCAGTGGACTCAAAGGACGCAGCCATCTCTGTGTCCATGGCTGTCTGCCACTGAGAGGAGTACTCACCCGCGATCGCCTCAGCGTAAGAGCGCGGGGTCGGGATGTCTGGAGCATCCGGGTCTCCCTCAGGGGCAACCAGCATGGACACGAGATGAGGTAAAGCAGCGGCAAAGCACTCAAACTCCTCCTGCCTGTCCTCAAGGACGTCCGTGCCAAGAGCACACTCACCCCCGACGGACGGAGGACAGACAGACTCAGACTCAGACTCAGCGACAAGGCTAGCGGCGTAGTCTAGACGACAAGCGGCAGCAAAGTAAACTAACTCAGCGACTAGAGCAGACGCAGCAGAGGACTCAAAGGAAGGGTCAGTGACAACAGTGGCGAGGAGACGCGTGACAGTAGGACTGGCAGCACGAAGAGAGTCAGACTCCGGGTCAGCAAGGACAGGAAGAGAGGACTCTGGAGGAGACAGCAACGGGACACGCAGAGGAGCAGTGGAAGGACGCAATGCCATCTGGTGTGTGCCTGGGACCGCAGGAGGACGCGGGCGCGGAGCACGACCACTAGTGCGAGCAGCACGAACAGGCGACGCAGGACGAGACGCAGGCTCACGACGCTCAGCAAGACCTCCAGTAGGACCAGTGTAGGGAGAAGGAGCAGGTAGAGGGGAGGCGAGCTGTAA